AGAAGGAGCCTCCATCGTACTCCAGGGCAAAGAGTTCCACTGCTGAACAGCTCTCACAGTCAGTAAGTTCTTCCTAATGTTCAGATGAAATCTCCTTTCCTGTAGTTTGAAACCATTGTTCCGCATCCTATTCTCCAGAGCAGCAGAGAACAAGCTTGCTCCCTCCTCTCAATGACTTCCCCTCACATATTTATACATGGCCCTCATCATGTCTCCTTTCAGCCTTCTCTTCTTTAGGCTAACACGCCCAGCTCTTTAAGTCACTCCTCATAGGGCTTGTTCTCCAGACCCTTAATCATTTTAGTCACCCTCCTCTAGACACTTTCCAGCTTCAATCGCAGTGCCCAGAATTAGACACAGTATTCTAGTTGTGGTCTGACCAAGTCAGAATAGAGGGGTAGCATGACATTGCAGAAGTCCATGATCTGCTCATGAAAGGCACCTTTAGCCTCGGCAACTCGGCTGCATGCTGGAAGGCTGAGCTGGTGCCAGCTGTGAGATCAGCCTAAGAGCCACCACCTTGCCACCCACATTCACACCAAGGACCTCGAGCAGGCCCATCTCCCCCTTCTGGACTTCCCAGAGCTGGACCTCAAGCTGAAATGAGTCTGGCAGGCACTCATTTCATTTCATTTCAATGGTAGAACACTGTTAGAAAAACTTTATCAAGTTCAGCCAGGCACTCACTAGCTGTACTGCTGCTTTTGGAAAATCATCTTCTCTCACTCCACCACCTTTGATTGGCAGAATGCTTTGTCAGAAACATTTTATCAAGTAGCAGACAGTCATTTCATTTCATTGGTAGAACACTGTCAGACAAACTCAAGTTGCAGGCAATCCATTTCATTTCAATGGCAGAACACTGAAAATGTCCTACCTTAAGATGGTGGTGCATGCACTGGTTGGATTTCTGTAATGTACTTTACATTGGGCTACCTTTGTACCAAGTTTAGAAACTCCATGTGGTTTGAAATATGGCAGAAAGATTGATTACAGGAACATCTAGAAGTGAATCTATTGCACCTATTCTAAAGTCACTCCACTGGCTGCCAATTAGTTTCCGGGCAAAGTATAAAATGTTTATTGATCATTAAAGTCCTACATGGTTTGGGTCCAGGTTACCTACAGGATCGCCTTCTCCTGTACAATCCATCCTGAACATTTAGGTCCACTGGAGAGTATCTTCTCCAGTCTGCCAGAACCTGACCGGCAACTATCACCCAGAAGATCTTTGTATCAGCTACCCCATGACTGTGGATCTACCTACTGGTAGAGCTCCGACAGCTAAATCAGCTGTCTGAATTCAAGACACAAGTGAAGACCTATTTTATCCAGCAGGCTTACCCAGACAGTTTTAATGATGAATTTTAAACTTCCACTCTAGGTCTTTTGCTTTGTGTGTTTTAATATGTATTTTATGGAAATATATTTTAATATGTATATTCAATGGAGTATTTTTAAATGACTGCATTTTGATTATGTGTCTTAGCAATGTTGTAACCTGCCTCGAGCTGTGAGGAGAGATGGGGAGAAATAAAAGTAGTAGTAGTAGTAGTAGTAGTAGTAGTAGTAGTAGTAGTAGTAGAAGTAGAACACTGTCAGAAACACTTTATCAAGTGTTCTTTTAGGGATCATAAAATTCTTTAAACTCTCAGGTGAACTTATCACAGGGTTTTCTAGGTAGAATTTAAGCAGAGGGGGTTTGCCTTTGCCTTCCTCTGAGGCTAAGTGGCGTGACCTGCCCACTGATGTTCCATGTCTGAGCAGGAATTTGAACCCTGGTTTCCAGAGTACTATTACTTTGTACTTCGTACAAACTCCTACTCCAGCAATGAATCTGGCTGGCTGTGGCCTCCTCTTTTATTTCCTCACTCCCTCTCAAAAAATGTACTGTCCTTTCCATAAACAACTTTTCAACTCCGTCACACCTCTGCCCCCACACCCAATAAGTCAGACCTATAAGGATCCTACTTACCTGCCTTTTTCTCTGTTAGGACCAGGATTTCACTTTACAAGTATGTTTTGCTTGATTGCTTATTGAGTGATTCGGGTTAATCATAATCACTTGTGCTTAAACTGAAAAAAAGTCATAAAAATCAGTTGATGACCAAAAGATAGTTATCAATTTTTGTACAATTGTGTCCATCACCAGCAAGACTCCTCCTCTTTGATATAAATGTATGACTACCTGTCTGTCCATCTTTCTTACCTGTAAAAGCTCTTAACATTTCTTCAAGCTGTCATGGATTACCCGTGAGATATGGTGACCTCCAGAGGCCTGCAAATCATAGATTAAGAAACACTTGGAAGAACACAGTCCTCCTTTTGGAAAAGCACAAGAAGTATTCCTCTGAGGAAGCTTGCCATAGATGCAGGCGAAACGTCAGGAGAAATGCCTCTAGAACATGGTCATATAGCCCGAAAAAACCCACAAGAACTGAGTATTGAGTAGTTCTGCCTTTTTGTTCTGTTCTGTTAGCACTTTACTGTCTGTATTGACCAGTAGCCCTAGTGTTTCCTTGGTTGTTTTCTTGCCTTGAATGTATCTGAAAAAAGCTTTTTGTTCATTCTGAGCTTTATTTCTTTACACTATCCCTGATAGTTGTGTGGTGTAGACACTTGAGCATTGGACCATGACTCCAGAGACCAGAGTTTGAATCCCTACTTGGTCATGCAAACCTACTGAGACAAGACACATTCTCAGTCTTGGAAGGCAATGGCAAACTTCATCTGAAAAAAATCTTGCCAAGAAAACCCTGATAGGTTCACTTTAGGGTTACCTTAGGTCAGGAATTATTTGAAGACACATAGCAACAATGGTCCTAAAAGCTTAGACTACACTTCTGTATACTTACTTGGTGTTGTTCTTACTTTCATTCTGCACACATGCTTTACTTTTTTCTTTTTGACTTTCCTGTGCAGTCACACTGGATTTTTTTGTAGATTATTCCCCTACCATGAAGATTTTTGTGATTGTGCATTTTGCAACTCCACCTTCAAAAACTCTCATCCTTGCTCTTTCCTTCAGCATATCTAGCCTTGGGATTCTACCAGGTCCTTCCTTGTACTCATTAAAATACAAACCTTGGTAAAATGGATGTGACATCTCCAGGACTGATTCTGCTGATCTGGCTGGCTAGGAGGATGTTCCCTTCAACCTTCATCACTTTATGTGCATCCCTCCCAAAGCGATGCACCCAGGCAGGAGTGGACCAAGGTCTCTGGCCCCTGATATATGATAGCTGCACACCTCTGATAGAACCTCCAAACAAGCTCAAGCCTTCCTAAAATATAATGTCTGTGTTTGATTATCCCACAGTTGTGAATTCTGGCGTTACATGATCACTCCTCCCTAAAATACCAGTTACATTGATTCTAAAGTATTATTATATTTATATGTTTTATCTGTTTTACTGTTTTATATTGTTTTGTTTATATATTGTGGAATTGCAGCATTGGATTGTGCCAAATTTTGTAAGCTGCTGAGTCACCTTCAGGGTGATAAGGGCAGGGTAATAAATATAGTAAATAAATAAATAATGAACCAAATGCCTCCCTATTGATTACAATTAAGTCCAGAATTGCTAATCCCCTTGTTCCTTGCCCATCTTTTTGAAACATAAAATTATGTGCAAGGCCCACCAAGAATTTGTTAAACAGTCTGTGCTTAGCAGTCAGACTCCTAGCAGATGCCAGGATAATTGAAGTCCCCCATAGCTACTAATTATTGCATCTTTGAGAGTTCTAAGATTTATTTTTGAAAAGTATCATCCACCAATTTTGCTATCAGTTTTGCATTTCTTTCTTTCTCCATTTATTTCTACCCAAATGCTCTCAATTAGTTTGCCATGATCATTTTCACTGATTTCTCTACATGTTAATTTGTCATTTAGTTATGCTACTCCCTTCCTTTTTCCACCACATCTATTGTTTTTGCAAATGTAATATTCAAAACATGGGAGTCATGCCACCGGGTCTCAGTTTTTCCTATAGTATTTACTTTCCTGCATTAGAACTTCGAGCTCATCTTGTTTTCCAAACTCTTTGCATTGGTGGATATATACTGAATGTCTATCTTATTAATTTACAGTCAATTTCTCTGTGGATCACTCATTGAAAAATAAATACCCACCCCTAGAATCCTTCTACAAGTACACTGGTGCCTAAGAAGAATAAAAAATATATTATAAGGATAATCTGCCAATCCTTGTCCCAGCTACATGAGAACCACCAGTCCCTGCTTCAAGTGCCAGATTTGTACTCATCTTGTACCCGACTTCCCCAGTGTCTCCACAATGCTATCCTGGAGAGAACTGCTATTCATTTTTCTGATAAGGTCCACATTTTTGGCTGCTACTTGAAGGGGGAGATTCTTGGCACATCCTTTCTCTCTTACAGTCCTACCTTCAGCCATCACCAGAAACCCTGGACTTGACTCTGAGGATGACTGGTACTAAAACTGCCAAAATTCCTAATGATCTGACCATGATGGTGGATGGAACTGAGTTTAAGCATGAATGCGGTTTATATCCATACAAGTGAGGGGATGGGGTTGCTGCCAACATGCAGTTCTAGAAGCTTTTGTGGATTTATATGTGTGAATCACAGAGAATACAGGTGGAGTGCACATCTTTTTACACCATAGTGGCTTTGACAATATACAGCCTTTCTATGTACTGCTTCAATGTTTTGGAGCCTCTGAAAAGGAATACTGATAGGGAGAATACTAGAAGACCTCATCTTTTGCTAGGTAGGCACCAGCCATCGGTTTGTCACAGTTATTACTAATGATTTGTGGCTGACATGCAACACATAGCTCTGTTGAGTGAAGGTGGTTATGCATCTCAGGTCACTAGCTTTTTCAAAGACAATCTGAAGTAATAAATTATCATCCACTCTCTCCCCAAAAACCCAGCAAAAGACCAAAATAACACACTTCAGTAGCATCTTAATTTTTAAAAATATTTCTTTGAAATTTTATCTACAGAGTTTGATTTTTTTTTTTTGAGAATTATAGCTAGCTGAAGTTCATGCTATGTATTGTATTTTTCTAAAAACATTGCAGTTGGCTGCCTCCTAGAAGATGCTAGTTAAATCTGGCTGCAAAATACATGCAAGTAACTCAACAAAGTCAAGGGTGTACCTACAAACATACACACTGCAAATGATCAACAATAAGCCTAATAATGAGAAGTCATATGACGAGATAAATGATGCCGCTCCTGAAAATATTCCTGACAGACAGGACAGGATAGTTTTTCTTCTCTCCTCCTTTTGCCATGGGACTCTGGAAAAATGCTCTCCTTTTTGTGATGAGAACGCATGTGAAACACAAGGTCAGATGTCATGCGAAAGGAGAGGTTACATTTTGCACACCAGTTTTGGGCTGCTACACCAAAGGAAGTGAAGGTAGGAGGTAACAGAGTCAAGGAAGCAAAGGAAGAGCTTGCATTTGATGTGGATGTGGTCTGCATGTGCTCTTTTGTTTGCCTTGGCCATAGTCCTGCAGCATAAGGGAAAGTGTTGCTCTGAACAAGGCTGGTCTGCAGCAGTTGAGAGCTGTTCAAATCACCCACAAAGCACTTGGAAGTCAGAAAGCTTTTGTACCTCATGAAGTCAATGGCACTGATGCATTCTGACAGCTTCTCTGAGCCTTTCCATGGATCATTCAGATGATAAGTGGCAGCCACTGCTCTTTGGTCCATTAGATTTTTCAGTGGTTTGCTAAAAGCACTCTTTGTTTCCCCAGAAGCTCTGGTTGGCCACACAAAAGAGAACGCACTGCCCGATGAACAAGAAACCTGGTGCTCTTTGCCAAAGTAAGTCTCTCCATTTCCTTGTTCCATCCTTTTGGTTTTCTCAATTATCAGCTTCATTCTCCTCACTTCAGTAAACGCACTCTCCTTCTGCTCCAGAACATCCTTCTTGAGAACTATTTGTTTCCCTGTACTGAACTTCCAGAACGGACCCTCTAACGTGTACTGCACAGCACCTTTATCCCTGTTCTCACTGTAAAGTTCTTCATATAGACAATTAGTTTTCTCTAACAGCACAGTTTTTCTATCATTCTTAGTCTCCACTTTTTCACAGTTCATTCCCTTTTCCAAATGGGAATCACAAGTTGCCATCTTGAGCTCTAGGTCCCTAGCAAGACTCTGGAAATTGGTAGCTTGCTCCAGTAACCCACTCTTCACCATTTTGAAGTCAGAAAGATTTCCCCAGAGCTGGGGGCTATTCTTTGAGAAGCAGAACAACTGTGCATGAAAATGATGGGGCTTATTCACACTTGAAAATTTGCTTGCAGTTTGAGCAATCCAGTTCTAGAACGAAAGAAAGAAAATACATTATTAATATCAAGTATTATTTGTTTGTCTCAATAATGGGACTCAAGACAGCAAACAATATATTAAAAACAACATAAGTCTAGAGGAAATTGCAAAGTCTGGGGGCAGCCACCAAGAAGGTCACCCGCTTTGTGTCCATACTATCCTAGAGCTCTAATAGGCTCATAAAGGGAGATACAACCTTCAAATAACCTGGACTCAAGCAGTGCATCCCTATATAGGTTAAAACCAGCATGTTTGCCCCAAAAGAGAATGGCAACTAGTGGAGCTGTTGCAATAACAAAGTTGTATTTTACTACAACTCTTTTGTCCATCTGACTTTTTGAGCACTTTTTAAAGGCAACCCCATGAAAAGTGCATTGCAGCAATTCCAACAGTATTTAACCAAAGTATCTGCCGCAGTGGCCAGATCACATCTCTCTGGAAACAGACACAGTTACTTAACTGTGCAAAAGCATTCCTGATCACTGCTGAAATCTGGACCTCCAGACTCATTCGGTCAACCAACTACCAACCCAGGAGTATCCCCAAACTGCTACACGTTGCCATCATGTCATCGTGGAGGAGCCGCAGGATGTTCACAAATTTGTCAGGGCACCCAATTTTTTGAAGCATGGTCCAGAGAGTACTGCAATTCACTGTGTCAAATGCCTTTGCAAGGTCGAATGAAGGCAATGTACAGAGGTTGATTTTGTTCTCTGCATTTTTCTTGGAGCTGTCGTGCAGTGAAGATCATGTCCATTATTCCTCTGGAGGGCCAGAAGCCGTTCTGGGATTCTGGGAGGGTGTCTTCTGAGAGGGGTAGAAGGCGGTTTGCAAGGATTCTTGCGAGGATTTTTCCAGTGGAGGATAAAAGGGAGACACCTTGATAGTTTGCGCAGTCTGTCTTTCCCCTTTTTTTAAAAAAAAGGGTGAAGATGGTGACATCCTTGAAGTCTGCTGGATCAGGCATCTCTAGCCTCTCTGTGGAATTGGTTCCAACTTTTAAACAGAGCAAACTCCAGGAAAAGCACCTTTCCGTCTGAACAATAAATAAACTTAAGAAGATTGAGAATCTCTTCCATTTCAAGATTTTTATTTTTAAAATTACCTTTGACTAAGGACACATCTACACAGGCCAAATGAGTTGGATTAGGGATGAATGCTCTCTGTGACATCCACAGGTCCTTAACATGGCTTTTATCTTGCATTAGATAATCAGCATTTTGGACCAGTGGAAACAGTAATACCACTTTCTACTCAAGAAATAGCTGTGGTTGTTTACACCACCATACAGCCTACTATGTCCTTGTTTTTCTAGGCTTTGTGGTGCCTCATGGGCTCAAATATTGTGGTATCCATCGCTGCTGCTGCTCCTCTTCCTCCTCTTCCTCCTCCTCCTCCTCCTTCTCTTCTTCTTCTTCTTCTTCTTCTTCTTCCTTATAGTTCTGGGCATATGACATTTCTAACATAAATAAGTTAAACTGGCTACCATCTCCCTGTGGAGGAGGAGTGGGGGGAGGAGAAAGAGGAGGAGGCTGTTTACATTTAGGAGATAAGTGCAGCTATGGTTTCTGCTTTCATTAGTAAATCAACTTCAGCAAGTGAACAAATTATGACCTCTAGTGGTGGAAAGTAAAATTCTACCACTTTTTCTCAGCTTGTAATGTCACCCAAAAATATGTGAATGATGAGGAGGTGAATAAAAGAATGCTGATTTTGTCATTCTTATCACAATTAATTGCAATTAAATTACCGCTGGAATTTAGCAAGGCATTAAGGATACAATAACAGAATCCATGCAAATTGTAGGAGTCACAAAACAAACCAAGGAAAACAACAGACACCAAAAAAAACAAAACAAAAAACCAATAACAGGACTAGATGGAAAGAATCACGGGGGTCTCCAATTTGAGACACCAAAATTTAAAAGTGCCAAAGCAGATTTGACTGAACCAAGGTAATGAATACAAATTTATCATCAAGCTGAGAAGAAATGAAAAAGACTACAAGAAAACACAGGAGAAAATTTTAAGCCATTAAGCTTTGTTCAAATAGATAGACAAAGCTTACACCAAATGTATTAAAGTCTATTTAGATGACAGAAACATGTTAATACTGTCCCATTTAAATGATGACCTGGTGGATAAAAACAATTCTGGGAATGGACAAACTAAGAAATTTGGTAGAATAAAAAATAATAAAAACATCTGTTCATTTCATATTCAGAATCTGATGAACAGATACCTCTTCGACATCTTCCAACTTTTTAGCCGAGTCACCTCCAACTGTAGTTGGAGACTATGGTGCCACCTTGTCCACTAACAGCTTCTTTATGAACCTGATAGTGAAAGCTCTCAAACTTGAGATCAAGCAACCTGAATCTTCCATGCCAGATGGATTGTCAAATGGATCCACAGTCAAGCTCCAGCTTCTCTAACCATTACTTCTAGCTTTTCAACAGGCAGCCAAGAAGTCCTAGTTTAATCCAGCTTCACTTCTGTCCACCGCAATGTAGAGCAAATAATATCCTTCTCTCCAATGAGCAGTTGAGCTTTATTTCCTGGAGTATGGACTGGTTGGATCTTCTTGCGGTCCAAGGCACTCTCAGCACTTTCCTCCAGCACCACAGTTCAAAAGCACCTATCTTCCTTCACTCAGCCTTCCTTATGGCCCAGCACTCACATCCGTAGGTTAGTATGGGGAATACCATTGCTTTTACTATGTGGATCTTCATTGCCAGTGTGAAGTTTCTACTCTTTACTATTTTATTGAGATTGATCATTGCTCTCCTCCCAAGAAGTACGTGTCTCCTGCTTTCATAGCTGCAGTCTGCATCTGCAGTAATCTTTGCACTTAGAAATAAAAAGTTTGTCACTGCCTCCACATTTTCTCCTTCTATTTGCCAGTTATCAATCAGTCTGGTTGCCTGAATCTTGGGGTTTTTTTATGTTTAACTGCAACCCAGCTTTTGCACTTTCTTCTTTCACCTTGATTAAAAGCTCCTCCTCGCTTTTGGCCATCAAAGTGGTATCATCTGCATATCTGCATATCTAAGGTTCTTAATTTTTCTTCCAGCAATTGTACAAGATCTGATTGCAACTAAGATTAACTCCATTTTTTTTGCTGTAAGATTATAATCCTCTCTAACAATCTCAACTATTTAAAATGGAAAAAATAGTGCATTTTGCTATATATGCTATGGCGTCAAATTTATTTCTCCCCATATTCTAAGAAGAGGCAGATTTTTAACAGAATTTTATACTGCTTGGAAAAACACCTGGATCTACTTTTGCTAAAATATCAAGTGTTACCGATGGAAAGCATCTGCATGCATTAAGATCTTCCCAAATGCATTTTTCGAGGACAGGCAGTCCCCAAGTTATGAACAAGATAGGTTCTGTGCATGCAGTGTTTTCAGTGGATTCAGCAGAAAATTATTCAGCTGTATTCCACAAAAGTGGAAATCAGCCTGTTTAGCAGGTCTTGCACATGTTGATTTATTATCAGTAAATGCCTGGGGATTTTTTTTATACATATTCTACATACCTATATACCTGGGATCATGTCAAAATCTCTCAGGCAGAAAGTGATCACAGGTGTAAAAAGGTTTAAGAAGCCATGCTGTAAACTATGGTTTTTAAATAAAAAATATCACTATTATTTTTTAAATGATCAAAAATCATAATCCTTGACCATTCAAAATGCAATACATTCCTTAAAAGTAAGTCCCATTGTACCATATTGCCAGGGAAACGGTGTTGTGCTGCCTCAGAATCTTTCTTTACTCTGTATGAAACAATACGATTCAGTTGTTAATGTCAAAGTCAAGCTCTTCCAAGAAAAACAATTGCAAGATCAATGTGATCTACAGATAGGAGCTCATTGGAAATTGTACACTGTCAGGTTTTCAACTGTTCATTTCAACTTCAAAATCTGCATGACATCAAATATCTGAGTTCTGAATCACAAAAATATACCTCTAGCTCCGGTTTATCCTGGAATACGACCCTCAATGATCTAACATGATGTACAATAAGAATAAAGTTATTTTATTCTATTCCATTCTATGACAAGTGGAAGGCTGCACTGCCTTCACAGATATGAGATGATGGCTCCTTGTGTCTCCTTGGCTCCTAGATTATTATTTGCCTTCACACAAGGATGGAGGGTGGGGGGGAGGGTTGGCCAGCTTTTTTCAGAGGGTCTCCCTACGCCTTCCATTGAGGCTGAGAGAGTGTGACTTGCCCCAAGATCACCCAATGGTCTCCACGGCTGAGCAGGGGTTCGGACCTCAAAGTTTTATAAAATCCACACTGAACCGAATTACAGGGCATTGTGGACTCCGATAATCCAGTTCAAAGCAGATAGTGTGGATTATCTGCCTTGGTATTCTGGGTGATATGACTGTGTGGAAGGGCCCTACATTGACCATTTAATTCCGTTTCAAACTGGTATTGAAGAAAGCAGTTTCGCTGCGCAGACGTTTGCATAGGAAATCTTGGAACCACTTGGTATGCACAAACCCTCCAAAAGAGTTCCTTTTCCGTGGACGGTCGTTGCCTCAATGCCGCAGTTTGATACTAACTGAAATGACCAGTGTCGATGGGGCTCAGCTCACTCACTACACGGCGCTGAGAGAAGTGCCGTCCGCGCGCAAATAAGGTCTCCGCCGCCAGCCGTAAGGGCTCCCTTCGGTCGGGTCAAGCACTTACCTCGGATTCCCTAGATTTTACATCCGAATTGGCACGACCACCGGAAACGAGCGGCGCCTCCCACACACGGTCGTCTTTGGGCTTCTTTCTTTCCCTGAGGACTTTCCAAGAAGTTGTCTCCGCGCTTCCTGCTGCGGCGTTTGGTCGCTTCTACCTGAGGCGGCGGCGGAGCGCGCTTTCTGCCGAGGGAGGGGCGGGGGCGTGGCTTCGGAAGCGAAGGGCGCGAGGAGGGAAGCGAGAGCCCTCCCACCCTCCGTCCCTTTTTCCTCAGGAAGCAAGGCTCGCGCGGCTACTACCTGAGGGATGGACTGCGCACTCTGGCGCGAGGGGCGGAGGCGTGGCTTTGGAGGCGAAGAGCGCGAGGGATGCGCCGCCGCTCCGAGCCCTGAAAGGAGGGGAGGGGGATTTGACTGAGCTCAGGTACTATAGGCGGGAGGGATTCGCAACAAACCCCTTCTCTCTCTCCCGCTAATCTCTGGCCCAGGCTTTATAACGGAAGTATTCTTTCCCAGGACAGAGGGGGTCACTTGTCGAGACATCTCCCTCAAGCCAGTGGTGGGCCCAGCTCTTTAAAGCCTGGAGTCTGGAGGACCAGGCATGTACCGGGGGGGGGGGGCTTGGGGGGCTTCAGCCCCCCCCCCCGAAATTCTCATGGTGGTTCGCGAGAAGGCCTTAATGGTGCATTATTTAAACTGTTATGTTTATTCATATCATGATCTGATCACCATGCTCAATATATCCCATATGCATGGGGGTATTGGGGTAACGATACAAAAGGTTTGCTAGGGTAGACCCTCTTTCACTCAGACTCAGCCCCCCCCCCCCCACCAAACTAACCCCCCCCCCCCCCCCAAACAAAATCCTGGCTACGGGCCTGGGACCACCTGAAAAAAGAGGAAGAAGAAGAAGGGAAACCGTTGATATGGAGGCGGGGAGAGGTCGCAAAGGCCATCCAGTCCAACCCCCTTTCATGCAGACAGAGGCCACCAAAGCACCCCACAAATACACATATGAGATTGCTTACTTACTTAGGCAATCCCTCGTTGCTTGAGGATGATTGTCTTCCAGATGTGGTGTCTTGGCGGTCTGTAGGTGGCTGTGGAGCCCTATTCTTGATCCGCATGTTCTCCTACAGTGAGGGCATTGGTTTCCAGGTGGAAGGCGGTCCAGGCCAGTGTTGGCTTGACGCGCCTTCCTCTTGGCACGTTTCTCTCTTTCACCCTCCATTCGTGCTTCTTCAAATTCTACAGCACTGCTGGTCACAGCTGACCTCTAGCTGGAGCACTCAAGGGCCAGGGCTTCCCAGTTCTCAGTGTGGCCAGAGACCATAGGAAAAGACAGGATTGGAAACAGCAGCTCAAATGGCATCCTGCTTTTTATACATGAGCATGAGTCATTGGCAGACAGTATTGTATTTCAGAGTCTATGTTGACTTTTGTGGCTGCTAGGGTAGCGGAAATGGTCAACATTTTCTCATGTTACACCATTAAACCATATTTCTGGCATTGCAGAGAGATTGGTTGGTGACTACTGGAAGAGCACTTTGGTTTTCTCAATGTTCTTCTGCTGAATGAGCACAATCTATATTATCATCAGCATACTGGAGTTCTATAACAGATGTTGTTGTGACCTTGGTTTTGGCTTTCAGTCTGCTGAGGTTAAACAGCTTGCCATCTGTCCAATAGATGATTTCCACTCCAGTGGGAGGATTCCCATCCACAGGGTGCAGTATTGTAGTGATGAAGATGGAGAATTGGCACACACGCGTACACACACAAGGATAACAGAGAGATCACTGGCACTTTTTGTACTGCCCCTCCTCTTAGCAAACGAAAGAAGCTGACAACAAAAATATTTTGTGTTCAGGAATCTGTCACTGCCTAGTTTTTGTTTTTGTTTTTTTGTTTTTTTGCATGTGCATATATGTGTGTGCATATTTGCTGTTAATAAAATTGAAAGCTAAATGCTAGGAAACTGACACAAGAAAAGGTTTAAAGGCAGCAAGATAATAACTAGCTAAGCTGGGTTGGCCTACCTTGCAAGGTAAAGTCTCCAATATTGAATACTCCTCCAGTATTGTCCATTGTCACAAGTCAAAACAAATACCATGGATAAGTACATCAAAGACTTTATGTGACTGCCTCACCTGAAGTTTATAGATTTCTCCAATCACAGATGAGATTATTAGATTAGAATCAGACTATCCCAACACTGACTAAATTATTTTAAATAGTGCCTAGTACTTATCACATTTAAGCAGCTTTTTCCCATTTAGAACTGTCCTAAGGAATATAGAGTTTAGTTTTGCTTTTAAACTAAAATGCATCTGTCCTCATGTACAACTTATATTTTTGTTTTCTCTCTTTTAGATAAAGTACAAGAGAAAAAGAATGTGCTGAGATCTGTGTTAAGATGTCAACAGCCGAGCTCAGTTCTCACTCCTATAATGTAACTGAATAGAATCACCCTGCATTGCCAGTAAAGAAAGAGTGTATAGCTCGAGCATCATCCTTTATTTTTTCCTTTTTGATGACACTGAAGATTTAATTGGGAGATGTAAATTAATCTTTTTCATGAGGTATAATTACCATCAGCTCAACACAATGTAAATTTATACATTTGTGACAACCAATCAATAAACTGTTCCTCTTGCCTCATAAAAAAGGTGGTCAGTTAGCATACTTGATGAGGCAAGCGGAAACTCTTTGATCAAAAACAAGGCTGAGCCGTCACCTTTTTCTACTGGCTTGAGGACTCCCATGCAGTCCATGCAACAATAGAGGGTTTAGTCAGATCCCTCTATTGTTTGTGGTTTTAGCTTTGAATATGTTTTTAATCAGTTTTGATGGATTTTAACTGTGTTTAATGCCATTGATATTCAATTCTGTTTGTATGTTTGTAAATTTTAAATTGTATTGAAATGTTTTTAATGTAAGCTGCATTGTGGAGAGAGAAAAACAGGGTATAAATAAACAGCATCATCACCATAATGCTGTGGCACGCGTGGCATTCCAGCCTCTGCCCCTTACACTAATAGTTCTCCTATTCTAGAAAGTGAGCCATTGCATCTGAAAGACATAGATGCCTAGTATGGCCAATGAGAACAGACTACCACCCTCTGTCATTTGGAATCTCCTGTTAGTCCATTACAATAGCTATCATAATACCCAAACAAACAGGGGAAGGAAAATTACTTCTCCTTTATGGGTTGATTGCGTGTATTTATTCCTGAGGGATCTGAAACATAACAGGTATTTTAATCTATTTGTGCTGCATCATTTGTTATTATAAAATTGCCATGTAGTATTTTAATTTTATATGTCTGGTTTTAATGTGTTATTGGTTTTACTGTTGATATATTGTATTTTATATGTTGTATGGCACCATTGTGTGCTTTGTAAACTGCCCCTAATCCCTATAGGAGATGGTGGTGGGGTATAAATAAAAGATGATGATGGTGATGATGATGATGATTGATAATTCCTCCAGTAAATTAACTATACCGGAGTCTTGCCTGCTGTTTTCAGATTGGGAGGATCAGCTGCTCCACGGTCCAGGGGCAGGACATTTGATTGAACAGGTATGTCAGTCATGTGCAGATTTTTGCTTACACACACTAGTATAAAAAAGGCCACCTGAACCTTCCTCATTGACACAGTTAAATACAGTTCACTGTACAAGTTGGACAGGATATTTTTATTGTAAAAAAACGTTTCCCAGTTGTCATTATTGTGTGTCATTACATCATTTCTGGCGTATGGCAATCCTGAAGTTTTGGGCTTTTCTTGGCAGGATTTGTTCTGATTTGTTCAGAAACCCTTTTTTTTGAGGCTGAGAAAGTGTGACTTGCTCCAGGTCACCCAGTGGTAGAGTGAGAATCTGAACCCTCATTTCCAAAGTCCTAGTTCAATACCCAAACGACTATGCTCTGCTGGCACACCTTCACAATCAATATAATTAATTCTTGAGTTACAAATAGATGCAATGGGTAAAGAAATGTGTCATTTATGAAATATTCAGTCTTTTCCATACACTATTCAAAATATATTTCCAAGGCTGTTTTTTCCTAGTGATCACGATAAAAAACACTGTAACCTGATAATCTTTTTTTAACTCGCTAAGGAGCTATGCCTAAGCACATGATTATAACAAGGTTGTCTATATAAGGTTGGTGAAGGCAGGTAAACAAGTCAATACAGTTGGTTTCATTGGACAATAAATTGACTGGCATATTAGTGCTTTCACTTCAGACAGTTCCCTTTCCAAATAACTGTAGCAAAGGTTTTATATTCATCCCAATTTTCTTTCAATATAGTCTGTTTGATTTCCAAATCTACCTTAAATATTGTCATGAAATTCACATGACATAAGTTTTAAAATAAATTATGTTCGCAAGAGGTGCTTAATGCTTGGTTGGTCTTAATTGATTCACAAAAGCATTTGCTGAAGATAATTTATGGCTCTTCATAGCAAATGATTTGTGGCGCAGCTGGAACATAAAATATAACCATCAAATGTCTTGTCAGAATCAAATAGGCCCAGAATTGGGATTTGCTACATTGTTTTTGAAAGATGTCGTTCCATATAAATGCCTTTAATGTCTGATAGAAAATTCTTAGGAGCATGGTGACAAATGCAATAACCAGATTTATTTGATTAATGTCCAAGTAAACTGAATATTGCTTGTTCTGAAAAACCAAATGTCAACCTACTAATGGTTTTGAAGGAGAGACATTTTCTACAATAAATCAGAAATTGAATTCCTTAACCCCCTGCCAAAAATGAATGAAGAAACAAACCTTGATGTAAAGGATTGAATAATAAGCAAGACAGGGGTTTTTGCTTTGAAAAAATCAACATGCAAAACAGATGTGACTTAACAGGTATTTTTTATTAGTGGAAATGAAGAACTCGGCTGCTTGTTTTCATTAAGTGTATTTTGGTAATGTAAGATGGAGCCTGAATATAAAAAAGCATATTTATATATATGCTTGTCTGTCCCTCCAGTGAAATGGCCCTAACTTTTATTCCTCATGAGTCTAATTGACTCAGGATTTTACAGAACACTTGTAACAGGGAAGTGTCCA